CCGGCTGCCACCTCTGCAAGACAGCGTCGTGGGGAAGTTGTGGAAAGCCGTGAAAGGTGTACGTGACGACCCGGATGCTCGACTCCTCGCTCCGGGCACCGTTTTCCTCTGCTTGGGGAAGGAAGCGCTCGACCATTCTGCTGAACCACTTCGGCATGGCGAGCGAGCGCAAGCACGACAAAGGACGCAAGATCAAGGGTGGGAAGACGGTGGCGCGTGAGATTATGCTCCACTTCACCGAGTCTTCGGTCCAGGCGAAAAAGTACAGAAAGAAGAACAAGGCGGGATAGTGAAAACACGTCACGATCACATCCCTAAGTCTGCGTACTTTGCTAGGCAAGATGCGCGTAGGGGAAGCACGCAGTGAGCATGCCTGCGCAGGCAGACACCCTCCAATACTCCCAACGAGTCTTTGCTTTCCACAGCGGGCTCACGGAGGTCAGGCCACGCCAGCACAAGCACTTTGAGGGCTGCTCCGACTGTGGCAACGCTGCCGATGCTGTCGCTGGCAGACAAGAGACTCTTTTGGGAAGCCCGGAGGAAGGCTGTGGGCGGCCGTAGTGTGGAGACTGCTGGCTCGGCCTCAGGCGAGGATGACAATGACGACGATGATGAGGAGTCGGACGGTGAGGCTCCTGCAGTGTTGCCGGCTGCTGAGGACATGGCAGAGGAGAAGAAAGCCGAGTCGGAGCCCGTGGTTGCCACCCCGCCCGCGGGCCGCCCTTGGTGGCGGACTCGCTGTGCCACGCTTTCTGGGCCAAGAGCGTCATTGATATGACACCTGGAGCCGGAGACCTAACGGTTGACTCGATCCTTCAGGAACAGGGCTACGTTGGCATCTGCCAGAGCGAGTTCCAGAAGACGGTGATCACGGATCGGGTTAAGAAGGCGTACATGAAGGCCAGAAAGCGTGCTCCGCGGCGTATGCCAAAGAGTATGGCGGTGAGGCCACAGAGCCTCCGGCGCAAAAGCCGAAGCCAGATGCTCCAAAGAAGGATCCAGCCTAAGACAAAGCCCAAAGCCAAGACTGCGCCAGTGCCAGAGCCACTTCCTTTGCCCAGCTCTGGCGATGCTCCTGCTGCGCCGAAGGTCAAGACCAGAGGGGCCGGAAAGCCAGCCTCAGCCCCCAGCGAGGATTTTTCTGACAAGCTGAAAGCCATGCTGGAGGCTGCAAAGCAGAATCAGAATCAGAAGTGATGTTTCTTTCGGCCTCGTGTGTGCATGTGGCTTCTCTTCTCCAGATTCAAACCTAAGCTTGAAGCTGAGCGGTGTCCAGGCAACAGCATACTTGATGCTGATCCAGATCCGATTTCTTGGGAGAGGCATGTATTCGAGCGCACAGGCTAGAGCATTTCACGCCAATTGGACTTGCACAACTTTCCAAGCTTGCTGGCCAATTCCTAGAGCCATTTTGTACTTGACCGGGCACGGAGGCCCCCGTGATACCTGGGGGAGTCTTCTTGCTTTGGGTCTCGCGCGTGCATGTGGCCCCTCCTCCAGCTTGAAAGCCTTAAGCTTCAAACTGCGTGCTATCCCGGCCACAGCGCGCCTGATGCTGATCAAGATCCGATTTCTTGGGAGAGCTATGCGATGCCCGAACAGTGCAGGCGCTCTTAGAGGCTAGAGGACATTTTTAAAGTCAGTTGGGCTTTCGCAACTTTCAGTGCTGCAAGCTCGATGCCGTCACGGAGGCCCCCGGATAATAGCTGGGCCAGTGATGCTTCAATCGGCCTCGTGTGTGTGTGTGTGTGTGCGTGTGGCCCCTGGACTGCAGCCTGAAACCTACGCCTCAAACTGTGTGCGTCTTCTGCGTGTTGTCCAGTGCGCTGCCGGTGGCCACAGCACGCTTGATGCTGATGAAAATCCGATTTCGCGGGAGGGCCGTGTAATTTTCGGACAGTGCAGGCGCTCTTAGGCTAGTAAGTACAATTGAAGCCATGTGAAAACTTTCACACGTCTGCGTGCTGGATGCTGGCCACTCCCTGGAGCCATTTTGTAATTGAGTGGACGCGGAGGCCCCTGGATAGCTCAAGGCCACAATGTCCGCTCGATGCCGGCTGCTCCGGGACCATGTCGGTCGGTTGCGCTATGTAGGCGAGAAGCCAAGACTTTTGGCAGGCTGGTGCTAGGGTTCTGCGCAGCGGTGTGAAATCTAGGATTTAGGGTACTGGGTTCAAAAGTTACGGGCACTAACGTTTGATTGCTCGCAGAAATCCTAGAGAGCCGGACCCGAAAGTGCGAGCGTTTCAGAAGCAGGCGCTGAGGAGCTTCTAGCGCAAAGGACTTTGGAGGCTAGCTTGGACTACAGCGCTGACCCAGGGGGATTTTTAGGCTACATCGCCGATGCTTCTTGTGTTTGTGCTCGAGGCTTTTGTGCCCTTCTGCGCTGCTCGCCTGTACATTCCTGTGCTAGCTGAAGCTTTGCGCGTGCCAGCTGAGCAAGAAAAGCAAGGGTCAGTTTGCCTGCAAAATCCAGCGCCTGGAACCGCTAGAACTGCTACATCCCAACCCTGTAACGAAACCGCAAGGCCTGGTGCGTGATCTTTGGACCGGCGTGCGCGCAGCGCCTGGAGCTCAGAGACTAGGCTTCAAGATTATAGAATGATTACATAGGGGTGCTTTCGGGATTGCATCGGGGTGAAACAGGAAAACAGAGAAGGGTGGTCGGGATTTGAGGGTGTTGCTACAGGTTTATAATATATGTGGTGATTGGGGGGTGGGGGTTATTTAGTTGATTGTTCCTGGGTTGCGTAAGCATCCAGAAAGCCCGCGCAAGAAACGGTTTTGGGTGTTCCGGTCAGCGACTGCCGCCTTAGCTGAGGCATGGGCTTGGCAGAGCTGCTGCTTCTTGCTGGACTGGAGGCCTCGGCTTCTCATAAGATTCTGGCGCACAGCTGCACAGTGCAACAATCCACGCAATCACATTGACAGGATTTGACATGCGTTTCGGCCAGCAGATTTCCCTGGCTGCGCAGGCTGGTGTCTGCTTCTCGCTGCACATTCTGTTCGAGGCAGATGGGAT